AAGCACGCGCTCTGGTAAGAGGTCAATTTGACCTCCGAGGATATTCACAGAATGCTTTTCGAGCGGTGAAGCATAGCCGTGCCCGTTTTTGTAAAGCTGTAGGCGATCGCAAAGCGAATCTTTTGGTCAAAAAATTGGATGCACCTTGTAAACTCACCAACTTATGACAGGTCAAGGTCAGATCGTGGCTGTCAGCGAAGGCAATTTCTAGGGAACCGTTCAATCTGATGTGACATTAGAGTTCTAGACGAAGCCGTACATTTCTGAAATAGTCTATTTGGGAAGCAACAACTGAATTCGAGATACTGGCAAATTAAATTGATCTAGGGTGGGTTGTGAAGGTCAGACTGAGGTCAAAATAAATTTATTTTTTACTGGAGAGCTTGCTTTACGGGATGGGTTCTCATGCTCATTTCAAATGTGCTGATAACAGGGACCGCAACAGACATCTTCTTTGGACTTTTTAAAGGTAATAGTGACCAAAAACAACCTTGAAGTACCCGCTGGTCTTGGAAATGTACCGTCTAGCGTCAGCCATAAAGCTATTCAAGTTAAGAAGTCAAACAGCCTTTTAGGCTTTTGGTAGCCATGACCTTCTAAAAGCCAAGCAAAGTCTCTGAGGAAAAATGGACCCATTGACCTTTTGTCTAGAACGGGTCACTAACTAGGCGAATCAGGCGGGTCTAGGTTTCAGGTCCAAGGCGGTCGCACGAGGCGATTTGGGGGCTCTCCTCCAGCGTGAACACCACTGCCTACACTGGACACCGGGCTAGGAACGGCAATGTTTGTCGAACATCTTCCGAGAATCGTCCTTCCGTGTAGCTTCCACTTCGAGCTGACCTACCGCTGCCCAAATACCTGACGATTCAGCGCTCTAAACTAGAAACCGTTGGGAAGCCGTTACCGATCAGCGTGAACACTTTTAGCGTGAGCAGACGTTTTCGAAATTTGGTAGGCCTCAGGAGGTGCGGAGGTGTGATGGTTTCATCGAGGTCCATTTTCCTGCGACACAGACGCCAAACGATTGCTAGCTGCCGAGGAGCTGACCTACCGCAAGACCAGGACATTGTCAGCAGGGCCATCACGACAGAGCTCCACCAAAAAAAACCTACAAATAAACAACAAAGACATCGAATCGTGTTGTGATGTGCTGGGATTTGCGAAGGGTGCCTGAGGAAAACGTCGTGGAAGGACAGGGGAGACATGGGGTGACTTCTGACAGACGCATCAGGAGAAGGGAGACTGGCCGGCACATTGACAAATATCCCATCATACCGAGTTTTAACGCCCTTACTCTGCTGCAGAGGTCCAAGTGGACTATCACTTTATCTCAGAAAGGCTTTAATTTCAACTCCGGTTCGCTGCTTACGATGCCAAAAACTTTGGACACATTACCGACAGGTGTCAGGGAGGCCGTCAATGTTCCAGACGCTCCTCCCCAGAGCACCAGTCGCGAGATTACCCCGCTGAGTAACCGATATATTCTAACTTCTGGCGATGACCACCCGGCGTCCTTTAGGAAGCGTCGGGTGCTTCTTGCTGAAAATAAAGGCATCAGTATCAAAGTCAGAGAAGGTTTCTCATTTGGGGGCGGTCGGCGCAGGTACAAAGAGTGCTCCGCTGAAACGAGGTAGTGTGCTGCTCGTACCTTCCACCGTGAGGTGCACAGTTGCGTCGCCTGATGTCGGTCAGGCGCTGACGTACGATCTAGATCTTTGTTAAAACATGACTTTTGGCAATTCTATAAAATGATCACTTATGTATTGGCTCTAGAGGTAAAACTCACCGCCTCCACCCGTGGAAAAAGGTAGCAGGCCATCCCGGGGCTGCCACGGGGCGTGCGGGCGCTACGTCCGCTTCTGGCGCCGCGGGGATCCCTCGCCAGCCGCCCCTCTCCCCCCCCCCCCCCCAATCGAGATCCTCTCTAGCTTTTTCTGAGGAAACGGAGGAAAAGAGACGCTTGTTTAATGTCACCGGGCGTTATCTGTTGACCTGGGAGTTACGCCGTTGACCTGGGTTTTATCAAGTCGTCTTTCTGCTCCATGTACTTGTTTCCAACGGAAGACTTACATCGTTCCTCATCAGCGACGGCCTTCGACCAGCTGCTACCTCCGTTCTTGGTCCTTGCCCTTTTTTGACCCGTATAACGTGACGTGGGGTTATGATCTTACGAACATCAGGGGAAGCGGATATAAACATCTCCTCAACAAGAGCAGACCGCACATTTTAAACACAGGACGTTTCACCCATATTTCATTGTCGTCGGACAAGACTTCTGCCGGAGAGCTCTCGATCTGCACACCAGCGCTGTACATTTTTACATGGTTTCTTGGGATGCTGTTAGCCGCCCGCTCGGGAGCGATCACTTCCCCGTCTGACTGAGCCCCAACGCTGGCGTTTGGCCACCGCGAAGAAACCTCCGACGAAGTGACGGTAGCAGTTGCTGCCGAGTGCTCCATCTGCACACGTCCCACAGCTGGTGATTCGGCCACATTCCTGATGCGCATGTCAACTTCCCTAGTGCAACGGCGGCGGTGGACAGTCCATTCCAATGACGTCACGTAAATTAAAACGGCTGCCAGTGCCCTGGAGGTCGCGAGAATGTAGAGCCGCCATTCTTAACCACCACCTTGTTTGTTCGTTTTCCATAACGCCGATTGATGGGGGGGGGGGGGGGAGGTCGATGCGACCACCATGCTGTTTCCAGACTTAGAAAGATAAGGCTTGGCGAAAAATACCAGTGGATTGGTCTGGAATAGGTCTCTCAATTTGTAATACGTTTTAGTTTGCTGGGTCAAAACATGATCCATCTATGCCACGTTAAAGGTCAAGTTGTCCCGAAAAACGCACTTTTCAGTTTTGCAATCTCGTGCATACTAGTCTGTACCATACAGCGACACAAAACTTAAACAGGTATATGCGTTGCTGGTTCTGAGCACAATGATGTGTATTTTATCTGCCTTGACCATATATTTATGATGTATCGCTACATTTAAGGGCGTCTTGTACTTTTCCATGGGTCTTTGGGCTGAAATAGCCACCTTGAAAATCATCCGCAGCAGTCAACAGCCCTGCCTTTCTTAAGACCCAAGCTGCTCTAGTTTCCGAGCTGCATACCCACGAAGGTGTGCATGGTATTTCGGGAAGACATTTTCGAGGTCACAGTATTCATGGCACCATAGTAACGTCACTCGAATTATGTTATTCCATTGGACATGCGGGAAAGAAGGCCAATAAAAATGTAATTACTGATTCGTTCATATGTGGAGTTAGTGAACGCAGTTTTCAGATTAAACAGCCTGCAATTGGCCCTCAACAGATGTGTTGTAACGTACGATTACATAAACAAACAATGAAGTATTTAAAAGTATGTTTACTGAACAGAGGTGTCGTGCCGTCGAGAGCAGTCTTTCCGTCCTAAAAGTATGCCAATAGTTACAAGTGAGCTTGTTCCATGATATCTGATGCATACTCCAATATCTTCAAATGGTTAACACTCCCTTTAAATGGGATATTTAATTTCACATTTCACATTTAAAGATATTGAAGCAAGCATCAGATGTCATAAAACAAACTCACTTATGGCTTTTGGTATAATTCTAAGACAAAAAAACTGCGTGAGACAACACAGTTTCTCTGCTTTGTAAAGATGATTCTCGATGCGTCATTTTTTTCACCACGTCATCGTGCCTTCCACAATATTTATTGAGAGCCAGTTGGTTAGCGTTATATTTGGAAGTTGTGCTCACAAGCGGCAGATATGTACGACTCGATCGTCATATTTTCTCGGCCTTTATCGTCGCATAGGGTACTAAATGGCGGGTTTCGAATGACGTTATTACATCATGAATGCTAAATTGCCCTTGAAATACTTTGCCAAAATCACTCTCCCACATCCTTGCAGCCTTCTAGCTCATGAACCAGATGGCTCCAGGTCTTAAAAATAGCACGGCCGTGAGTCGCATGAAAAGGTCGTCGCCACGGCTATATCAGTTAAAAACACCATACAAATGTGGAACACTACATTTAACGTAATAGTGTCGGCCCACCGCACGCGCACCGCGGCATCGCCCGCCTGCCGGCGCCGCCGCAGGTCGCCGTGCAATGCTCCCCAAAAACTGTCGCTGTTCCGAAACCAGAAAAGGTACGGACGCGTTTTTGGTGTAAAAGATGTTCAATGGAGGCCACATATGCCAGCGAAATGTGTGCGCGACTGCACGACATGCCGGAGAGATATCCTAAAAAAAACAGCAGTTGGCGGTCGCGTCGATCTTCTTTCGGAACGGTTGTGTTACGATTCCCGTCATGTTGTCAGGCAACGACAAGTCCTTATCAGTCGCCCTCCAAACTTCAGATGGGGCAACGACGTGGTATTTTGTGCAGTTTTCACATCTGGTGCATGTTTCACGTATGGGTCATATTTGATATGGTTCACATTTGGCACATATTTCACAGTTGGTATGGTTCACATCGAGTATATGTGCCACATTTGGCACCATTATGTTTGGAATGTATTCCATGGCACGTAGGTTGAGCATACATTTTATACCTGGTATACGTTAGCGACGTGCTTGCCCCAACGAGACGAGCCAGCTTTTCAGGGGGCGCAGGATCGACTGTTGAGAGCGGTCGTTAGCCAAAAGTTTCCACGAGAGCACTGGGAGTTTGTTACCGGAGCATGGACGACGGCTAACTTTTCCAATATGCCTGCCGATTCAGATGATTCGAAATCCTTTTATTCGATGCCACAGTGCCGTTACCGGCCCACCTGATCACTATTCTTTATTCGCCATGTATCCACCCATCATCCTGTTCTAACAATATTCTGCTCTTCGGCCATGGTATTCACCGAGAAGTGTCAAGTGAAGATTGCGCAAATAATAAGTACCCACTGACTGGCCGCTGCCCGGCTGGTGCGTGCTATCTGTTCCCCGACAGGTGTGTGGCTGGGCCGTCCGACCGTTTGCAGGGCACGACGACCAGCGTGTTGCATGTTGCAGGGTACGCCAACCCGCTGCGGGTGCCGGATCAGCTAGACGCCGAGGCGCTCCGAAACATTTACGAGCCGTGGCGCAGCGTGCTGAAGCTATCGCCCAGCCACCCGACCAACAGCAACTACAAGTGGGTGCCGCGACCGAAGCTGCACGCGCTGGCTGTGGCCACGTGTGCGTCTGAGGCGGCCATCCGGCTGTGGAGGATATTCAGGACAGCCTGTAAACTGCGCTCTTTATTGTTGCCGTCATAATTGCTTTTGCTGTGTGAGCTGTAGCCAACAGTGTGTTAACATGGTTTGATCATTTGTTTTGTTGAATGTTTTGCACCTTTCCACGGGACTGCCGGATGAACCATATCGTACTATGCCTAACATAATGTGATATGTATATATACATATATATATATACATACATATATATTATATATATATATATATATATATATATATATATAGCAACGGTGCATATTGTTCCATACGCTGTTCGGCCCATGCCTGTGCTTACCCAGCGCACTGTCTGCAGGCAAATCATGGATCAGATAAAGAACGCGTCCACGGAGGAGCCGTTCGGCGTGCCGATTCATCACAGCATTTTCCGCTCGATGAAGGTATCTCGCACGTGTTCGCAAATACCGGCAGGCACGCAGTCGGTACTGAAGAACAATGACGACAGCTGAACCGTTGCGGGAGGGAGGGAAGGAGGGTGGGGGGGGGGGGGGGGAGGGGCAAGGAAACCAAGTGACAGGATGGGTGGGCGGTAAGTATGTGCATGCTTGCGGTTGCGCTGTTGGCCTGTGGCTTCTGAAGTATGGCTGGTGCTGATGGGCTTGTGTGGAGATGGTTACGTTCAAACTAGTGGCAGCCCGTGGTGTCAGTGCCAATGCTGCAAACCTTGATTGTGTGGTAAGTTTAGTTCATCTGCGTCCATGCATGTTCTTGGCTATGATGAGCCTCTTGGCTCCCTCAGTGTTTGGTCAAAGGGTTTTGCTGGGCATGGTCCTGACTTCGTTGTTACCATATTTTTTTACATCAATGAATATATATATATATATATATATATATATATATATATATATAATGGGATTTAAAACACAAATTTTTAGACCCTGTTTACCATCTAAAAGACTGAGCAGGCTGCGACGATGAAGAAACGGGATAAATAGCTGTTGGAACACTTAATCGGATAGGGACTGGAGAACATCGACTGATGTAAGCTGTGATGCGTCATGTTGCGTAAAATGAGGGAAGACAGTTGTTGCACTGGCCCGTCCAACTTCATCAAGAATAAAAAAAATGTCAGAGCAATTTCTCAAACAGGGTTAGGGAGGCCTTCGGACCTTTTATATATGTACCATTAGGAAATATGGATACAGATTTCAGTTCCTCGCCTCAAAGGTTGAACGCTAAAGCTTTCTAAATATGCAAACCGAAAACTTGGGTCGAGTCCTTACATTCCACTTTGTCCAAGCTGCACACCCCAAACTATTTGTTTGTATGTTTTAAGAGAATGAGACGCCCGTCACGCCCCTCTTATGGAGTACCGGTGACTGCATTATCATTGGCTATATCAGCCCTCAGGGGTCATGGCACAACTGGGGTATTTCTTGGTGCTCAGGGGTGCCAGTTTTATGTATGATTTAATATCACACACACACACCACACACACACACACACACACACACACACCACACACACCACACACACACACACACACACCCACACCACACACACACACACACACACACACACGCACACACAACACACACATACATATATTATATATATATATATATATATATATATATATATATATATACTATATACTATATACTATAAACTATAATATATATATATATATATATATATATATATATATATATATATATTATAGTGGCCTCAGGAAGTGACCGGACCCGCAATGCTCTCATGTTTGGATCTGTGGCAAGGTATGACAAAAAATGTACGCCAGCGTTCAAAGTCATCGTTGGAACCTCTCTTTCACTTTATTTTAGGTGGAAATGTTACCGCAGTGACCTAATACAACGAATGTTTGAACATGCGTTGCATAATTTTCCACAAATGCTGCTTCGATTTCTTTGGATTTATCGAATCGCGCGATTCAGCACATGCTTTTCTTTAGAACGCTTCGGAAAGTTTCGAGAAAGGTACAGAAACCGGGCAATTCCAAGTTTCCCCTCTCGCACCTGAGGCTGCCTCATCTCTGTCCTCTGGCCGTTGACCTCGTGACCTCGTGACTGCCAGGTGCCGGTGGCGGCGGCGCACGCCTACGACGCGGTGTTGCTGTACGCGAGGGCGCTGACCGAGGTGCTCGCAGCCGGTGGTGACCCCAGGAACGGCACCGCTGTCCTCCAGAGGATCCGTGGACACAACTTCATGTCACTGCGAGGCTACATGGTACGTTGGTTAGGGGAAGTACTAACGCGTACACCATCAAGACGCGTCTTCGGAGGTGCCCGGTGGCATTTCGTGCCTGTCAGATTGAATGCCAATCCTCCGGCAAACAAGCCATAAGATATGGCCTTCCGCGCTATTGAAAAGGTAGTTTTAGATGTCTTACTGGTGACAAATTTATCACTATTTTATACAGACAAGACAGCAGTAATAGCCTTGCTCCTCGGAAACCAGGAAAATGGAGAAATAGGTCGTTTAAAAAAATGTAACCAATATACTGATCCATTCCCCTGGTCTTTGTCGGAGGAATAAGGCTATTACTGCTGTCTTATCTATGTCAACAATGTTCCTCGCAAATTCACCGAACAACTAACAATATCTTATGTGATGATAGCTGGCGGGAATAAAATTATTTGACGTGCGGCAACATTTCCCTATAAAATTGAGGCGAAACACGTTTTATTTCATATTATTTGCATGTCAGTTCAGTGGCGCAGCGAAGATGCAGATTTTAAGGTGCAATCCGAACATTTTAAACGGATGGATTTGTGGGACCGGAGATCACGCCAAGCAGCGCTTGTGTGAGCCTTGACCCCTAACGCCTGATCGTACAATACCGGGTTACGGCAGTTTTGTAGCGTTGGAATTTTAACGTGAGTATGCTCCCACGGTCATTCCCATCATTGCCTAACGTTCAACATAGCCTAACCTTCAGCGCGACCGCTGCCACAGGGCGCGCGTCATATCTATCAAAGGCAACTAAGCGAACGCCCAAAGCGACTCGAACGCACTCCAGGCGTCCTTTTCAAATAAGCTATGGGGACGGGCAAAGCGTTTCCTTTGAGGCCATTTACCCTCCCAAAGAAGTGGCGCCCCCCCCCCCCCCCGCTACACTTCCGGACATGGCTTTGTGGGCTTTTAAAAAACACCAAAAAAATACACCTGATGCATCGAAATATAAAATCCCTATTCCAAAAATGTCGCCGGACCTCACAACACGGCCCGCTATAACGACGATAAGTGTCCCCTGGAATGAATGTGCACCATATGACCCGATTCGACCTTCTCCAGGAGAAATCCTAGATTCGTCACTGTGACAGTTGACACGCGCCCGGGTGGCCGACTAGAGATACCCTCCGTTCGGGTGGGCGGTGGTCAATTTGACCCCCACCCCCCCCCCGAGATCTCGGGAACTAAGAGAGCTAAAGACACCAAATTTGCAGGGTATGTTGACCTATGTGTGAACTCACTCAGGTCAAATATTCAGATTCCTAGGTCATGACCTCCGGGTCAAAAAAGTCAAACGAGTTCAAGTTCCCAGGTTGATCTCCAAAGTGCCCCCAGAACCTAGATAACCGTTTCTAAGCAAAAGATCACATGCTCATTTGAAGTCAGTGACCTTGTTTGACCTTTTGAAGGTCAATGAGACAAAAATAATGTCAGATTGCTTTGAGATTTGCATTTGACTAAACGACAAGGATTACGCTAGACAGTATGTTCCTAAAACAAATGTTGACCTGGGTCATTTAGGTTATTGACCTATTCTGACCTCTAAGAAGTCCAGGGATGGTGCATAATGCGGTTCCTGCCACTAATAAATTCGAAATGAGCACTAAAAACTATCCCATACAGCAAGTCCTAAAGTAACAAAACAGGTTGGTCTTGACCTCGGTGTGACATTCATACCTGACCTTAGCTAGATACAATCTGATCATTCAACTGTTGTGTTGCGTGAGAAAGCATCTCAGATATGTTTGGTTTCGTCTAACACCCCGTTGTTGGATCAGATTGAAGGATTCCCTAGAAATTGTATTCGCTGACACCATAGCCTAACTTTGACCTGTCATAGGTCCGCGACCTTACAAGGTACATCTACATTTTTTATCCCAAACGATCCGCGATTCAATTATCTACAGCTATGCAAAATTTGGCATGGCTGCGCTGGGTTGTTTGGAAAAAAATCTGGAAAAACCTTCGGCGGATCAATTTGACCCCCACCCGAGCGCGTGATAAGCTGGCAAACATCGATCTCGCCTCGAGACACAGGGCAAAAACCAAGGGTGATTTGTAGTAACCAATCGAGTGCTGAAAAAAGAGCTGGCGTCATAACGGCTTGTTTTTAAGAATAAAGCCGAGGTGGTTCGCATTGATCATACGGTGCTGTAGGGAACCCCTCATTAGCGGTACACATTGGGATGTGCCATTGTCCGCAAAGTATTGGCTATTTCAACACGCAATTGCGGATGCATCTCGCGGACAGGCGGGCCGTGATCGTTAACCCTCATCTGGGACCCAGGGGGCGTTAGCATGCGTTGTTCGGGCTTCCTTTGGATGGCTATATGAGATCGATGGTATCGAATATACCGGATTGCTGAATGAAGTCTCACACGCTCGTACGTACCCAACTAGTGCTAGTGGGCACGGGGTGAACCACCGCAGTAATCATTAGCAGATCCGTGTCGAAGAGAGCACTGAACGGATCATTTTTAAGAATAACGCCGAGCATCATAAACGGATCAGTTCATCGGGCCTGTCGCTGGTAACGGGCGTTGCATACCACTCTATGTGAAGGCCAGCATGAGCCTCAAGTGAGCATGCAATGGAGGGAGGCAACAATTTTGCGGTCGCCGAGACGTGCAATAACACTGAACATTTTCTGAAGCGGCTGCGATAAGTGGCTATTGATCGCACTGTAGCGAT